AATCTGTTTGGATATCTTTACAAGTTTAACTTGATAAAATACAAAGTTCTTTCCTAAGCAAACATAAAAACCTACCTTTTACAACAATGAAAATTTGTTTGAATTGTAAACTAATCCAAACTTAAATTCTCTGTTTGTCAATTGTGTAATATACAGTTATATTCACAAGTTTTCTCTTTTATCATCTGAAGTAAAAATTTGTTTTACTTTACTTGATTCGAACCCACTGAATTTGTAAACATTTAATGGTCTAATGGTTTTAAACAAAATTTTATGGTAAAAATTTGGCCAAAATCTGAGGTATAGAGTTCATCTATATAGTGTTTTTATAAATATAAATGTAAACAGCTATTATTCTCCATTATTGACCTTGATTTTACATGGTAAATTAAACATGAATTGGAGAACTAGTTTGATTTTAAATCACAATTATTATTCTAATATTTATATTTTAACTGAAAATATATTTAATATAATTTCTTTTTTCCCTTTGTAAACATTTATCTTTAAGAGGTCTATTAATATTTAAATTTGGATATATGTGTTCCTCTTGACATCACAGTCACAAAACCACATTGTCTTTAAATCTCAAACAAAACAGTGACAATGAAATGATGTAAAATAATACTCTAAGCGTCCTTTTAGTAAACATCTTTTTCAAATAGATCTTTTCACCTAAAAATCACTCAAGATTTTAGACCAGGTTAAATTGGAAAGAGTTTGTATCACAGATGATTTTAATAATCTGTTCTTCTTGTTGAATTGCCCTGTTCAAGTATTCTTTTTGAAAGGACTTCCAAGCGTGGAATAAACTTCTTACTTTTTCTGTATATCCCCAGTAAGGTTTGAACTTCTTTCTCTTTTTTGTATATCCCCAATATGGTTTGAACTTTTTTCTCTTTTTGTATATCCCCAGTATGGCATGAACTTTTTATTCTTTTTGTATATCCCCAAGTGTGGCCTGAACTTTTTATTCTTTTTGTAAATCACCAAGTGTGGCATGAACTTCTTTTTCTTATTGTATATCCCAAGTATGGCATGAACCTCTTACTCTTTTTGTATATATCCAAGTGTGGCATGAACTTCTTATTCTTTTTGTATATCACCAAGTGTTGCATGAACTTCTTATTCTTTTTGTATATCACCATGTGTGGCATGAACTTCTTTCTCTTTTTGTATATCCCAAGTATGGCATGAACCTCTTACTCTTTTTGTATATCACCAATGTGGCATGAACTTCTTACTCTTATTGTATATCCCAAGTATGGCATGAACCTCTTACTCTTTTTGCATATCCCTAAGTGTGGCCTGAACTTCTTATTCTCTTTGTATATCACCAAGTGTGGCATGAACTTCTTTCTCTTATTGTATATCCCAAGTATGGCATGAACCTCTTACTCTTTTTGTATATCCCCAAGTGTGGCATGAACTTCTTATTCTTTTTGTATATCATCAAGAGTGGCATGAACTTCTTCCTCATTTTGTATATAAACAAGTATGGTATGATTCTCTTACTCTTTTTGTATATCCCCAAGTATGGCATGACTTTCTCACTCTTTTTGTTTATCCCAAAAGTGACATAAATGTTTTACTTTTCTGTATACCAAAGTGTGGCATAAACTTCTTACACTTTTGTATACCTCTAGTGAAACATTTACTTCTTCAATCTCTTTTATATATCCAGAGTGCTGCATTAACTTTTTACTCTTTTTGTATACTCAATGTGTAGCAAGAACTTTCCAATCTTTTTGTATACCAAAAGTGTGGCAGGAACTTCTAACTTTTTTGTATATCCAGATTGTGATATAGATAAGATAAACTTTTTTACTCTATTTGTTTAACTCTAGTGTGGCATGATCACACTGTTTCTGTACACCCAATGAATAGCAAGTACTTTTTACTCTTCATATCTAATAGGATTAATGCTGTTCAATCATTGAGTTCTGAAATAATCTTACCATAGAGTTTCTTTATGTTCATGTTTTTAAATAAGGCTTTTGTCTTTGCCTTCATAGCCAGGAATTTTCAAGGGGAGGTTAGATGGACTGGCAACAAACAAAAAATCAACTTTAATAGTCACAGTTCAAACAGAACATTGACTTTAATAGTGCTTGTTTGCTTTCATACGAACCCCTCGAACCCCCCTGGCTACGGGCCTCCATAGTAAGTATGTACTGATTAGGATTTCAATGGTCAACTACATTATTAACACAGCTGTATATAAGAATTAAAGTTAGGACATTTTTAATTTCAAGTGTTCTAGTTGGTTTTAAGGGAAGAGGGACACAGTTTTAAGATGAAGGGCAGGTTAGCATGGTTTTTTGTCTATTCAAAAGGGACCAGTTGATTCAGTTTAGATATAATAAATTGAAATATTATACTTGAATAAATTAATGTATTTTTGCTGGGTTTATAGTATTTTGGGGTTGTAATAAACTTTTCCTTGTAGTTCAGATGAATTTTTTGCATTGAAAAGTATTTTTCTCCTTCAAAATAAAGATGTCCCCCTCTATATTGGACTAGCTAGAACCCTGAATATTAAGCTAAACCATTTAAATCATATATTATATAAAAGAAACAAAATTCAGTTGAAAATATGATCTGACATTTTTTACAAACCCTTTCAATCTGTTATATTTCCTGATATAATATCCTCCGTTGGTTAGACTGATATTATATAGTTCTAGCTACAAATGTTTTTCAAAGTCATTAAACTGAAATCCTATTGAAAGATCTTGAAAGTATAGGAAATCTGGAAATTACATAATCTCTGACTAAAAACTAATTCCAATCTTCAAAATCAATAGAAAAGAGTCGCTATCCATGATTTTAACTGAAGTATATTGAGGGTTTGCAAAGCTATTCATTAACTTATTTAAAACTTTCATTTAAAATGTGATCTGAATAGCAACTGCTGTGGCATAAATCTTCATAGGATTAAGAATGGGATGGGTCCTGAAACAGAAATGTGAGCTTTAAAATGTACAACACTTCTGTGAGCATGACATTTTCATCATAAACACACACACACTGAACAAAAGTTTGAAAAGTAAAAAAAAAAATGAAATGTTTGAAAGCAAAAAAAATACCAAAATGGCCTATATGTAAGAGTAAAAAACTTCCACTTTGAATGAGGGAGTTGCAGCATAAGTTTTAGTACAATTTCAAAATTTATGAATTGAAAATGCATCATTGAAGTCATGTCTGTGCAAAACCTTAAGATCTTTAGATGTTTAATCTGTAATTTTACCAATTATGTCCTATTCCAAATGTGGATTTGCTTGGCGGGTGGTGCATGCATAGCAAGAAAAACTTCCCCTGTCAACACACCAAGTTTTGCTCCTTTTGGAGTTCAAGGGATTCCGTCAGTTTTTTAACAGCAGTTAATGACTGTTGCCTCAATTCTATAGCTACTACACAGACAATTCAAGATCATTCAAAACATTATTTTTGCAAAAACTGAAAACAATTTGACAGTATCATATTATATTATAAGTACTTATCAATTTTTTTTATATTGGACAATGTATTATATGTAATCACATAGATTTAGATATAAAAAAAGAGCTTAACTAAGAGGGTTTGCTAACCAATCTGCATAAAAGTCAGATGTACTATTCATGCAACTGCAACCTACAAATTAATGATCTATTCAGAGAATAAGAAATTAGAAAATGTCAATGTATATTAAATGTAGCGTGAACAAACCAGTTATGTGCTTGATTTAATAAAATGCTACATCTAAAAATCCTAAAAACAGCAATATACCAAACCTTACCTATTTTGTTAATTAATCAAACAAAACCCAAGGACAACATAAAACTTAAGAAAGATAAACTGTATATCAAGTTATTTTTAGTCAGGATTTGTTTGTGATCTGGGCATCAAATGAGGCGGTAAGCTATTGCCTGTGTTCCTTATTACTTCTAATTTATAAGATACTGACTTTTGAATGAGGCTTTGAAATGTTATTGAACTAACAGTTGATCGTCATTGTTGATTTCTATATACAAACCAAGATGATGAAGGAGAGACTTAACTGTACCTGTGGTATCCCAAATTTATTTCAAGTTTACTAGGATAGATGTTATCAACTGTCACCATACTTTCAAATATTGAGTGAGAGGCATCATATATATAGCAGAATGTGAAGTTATGGATATATAATGCCAGCTTCTTTTCATTCCTTCACATAAGTTCCTGTATAAAGTGCTCATCAAATAATTGAAATAACACTAACGGTTCCAATTTTTTGGCACCAGATGCGCATTTTGGCAAGAAATGTCTCTTCAATGATGCTTCAGTGAGTTATGGAAAAACTCCATGATAGGGAGTTAATAATGTCATTTAAAGAAAAAGCTATTTACTATAGCAATATTCCATCAAAGGTGCAATACTAGTTTGGAAAGATGAATATATGGATGACAAGATGACTTAAGGCATTTGAAAATAAATGGACAGATAAAAGTATACAGAAGCAACATGTGTGAACGAGTTGAGTTGAGATCGGATTCGTAGTAGAAAAAAAAAACCCAGATGATTTAAGTCAAAAACGGAAAACAACAAAATTGTCCAATATCATTTCATTCTACTAACAGCTGCTGTAACCTTGACCTTTGATGTAGTGGCTCAAAAATCAATAGGTGTCTATTTCAACCCAAGGTGCATCATTTGCAACAAAAGATGGGTAAAGATTTAAGAGATATCGAGCTGACAATTCGCTTTCTCCAAAAATTTACGTACATTATTTTGTAGTTTGACCGTCTAACCCAAAAATCAATAAGGTTCCTTTTCTTTTTATTGGAAATTTTCAAACTAAGTTTGATGAAGGATAGTCATATGGTTCATAAGATATCATCTGCTTAACCAAATTTTTTATCAAATTTCAGTCCATCAATAGCTAATGTGACCTTGACCTTTTACCTATTGATCTCCAAATCAATAGGGGTTTTCCTCATCCAGTATTGAGTCATAAAAATTGTTTGTATTATTAGACTCACCTCTAAATCTATCAGCCCTTTCAGATTAGGTATGTACAGGTTAGCAGTCAGTAAAGCTAGACCAGTCTCTGGTCTGAAGATGTCTGGGGTGCAGATGACATAGTCTGGAGGCTCGGTCCCTGGTTCCTGGTTTCCTAAGGGTCCTGGACCCCAATCAGTTGGAGTCTTTGTCATGTCCTTATATTTCTGAAATATAAACAAAAGTTCCTGTTTTTGCTGTTTGGTATAAAATACATGAAATTTAAAAGTATACCAAATTTTATTATGATCATGTTCTATTGAATACCTTTTGTTTTTTATTCATACCAAACAGAGTCATAAAATTAAAACCAGATACTTTTATAGGACGTTAGATAGGTTTTGAGTGTTGTAATTTGAGTTGAGTTATTTCCCTTGGCTGCCAATTTGGAGGTATAAATGGTGGATTTTCTTATTTTACTAACCAAATTGAAAAATGCAATACACATGAGTCTGATAAGAGATCATTACTAGATCATAATGATGAAACAAGGATAAAAGAAATAAAAATTGTTCAGAAGTCTAGTGGTCAGTATAATAAGTTGAAATTTGGCTGATTTATGAAGGAATTTGCTCACTTAAGACCTCCAACATAGCAACAAATGGGAAGCAACTCTTGCTCAAATTGTGTCAATCAAAACCTACCTATTCTAGCCTCCATAGAATATATATTTGATATTTTAATATCAGGTTATTTTTACTCAAATTATTATGCAATAATGACTTTATTCTACAAACCTGTCTTTTTTCTATCAAACCAACCAAAGATTTCCCCCCAAAATATTGATAAATCATTCCTAAATTCATCCATGATATTCATATGTGTAGTTTTCATACATACAATTATTGAAAATAAATTATCTCATAAACAAGACACAATCCCTACATAGTCCCTCCTCCCTAGTCTATGTAGGGGGGTTGGCAGTGTAAAAGATAAAATATGATCAATGCTTTAATGTAATACTGAATGCAATCATCACTGAATGTGAAAGAGTAGTCTCCCATGTTGTTAGAAGTTACTGAATAGATTTAAACTTATTAAGATAAGTAAAGAAGTGAAGTAACAATAGAAAATAGTAAAATACCTAAGAAATGCCAAAAAGTAAAGCCACTAATATAAAAGGTAAAAACACTAAAATGTAAAAAAAAAAAAAAAAAATTATTTAAGCTAAAAGAAAGAATTTTCTACAAACCTACTTTGATAAAATCTTCAAAATATGGATATAATCTTAGTAGGCATAATCTAAAGTTAAAAAAATATCCCACATCTATGTAAGTATAGCATAATTGATGTGCCACAGGAATTCTGCTCAAATCGAGATATGAGCCATCTGAAGTCTTAACTTTAGCTCAATGTTGAAGGCTTCACTGTGAATTTGAGATGAATCAATGAAATCTTTGTTTCTTCGCTTTTGGGTTTTATCAAATGCAAGAAGGAAGTTTGTGCCTATTTTGATACATAATGGTAATGTGATAATTAAAGTTATAGTACTTGCTTGTCTGAACGATGAGAAATCATTTCTGTAGCATAGAACTGCAGCATAAAACAGTGGTAACAATGGAATTAATGTTATACACCAGCTTAACTCTTTAGTGAGAGATGGATACTCATATAACTTGTACTGTAACACTGAGTCTGTCATAATGGTTAGAATAATCAATGCCTGAAAAATGAGATGGTCAAAGGGAGGTAATTCATGAATTTTTACTATCAGCAAATTTTCACATGCTAGAATATTTCATCAATTTTATCTTCATACTTTTTCTTACAGTGGTGAAACAATGTAAAATAATAACAAGTGAGTAATATTAACATAGTAAAAACTATCTTCCTTATATTAAATAGTATTAATAATTTCAAAATCTTATGGTATATATTGAAATAATAATCTCAGATTTTGTTTTACTAGCACACTATAAAACTTGATTTTCTTTTTTAAATTGTTTGAAAGTATACTTTGGCTATTAAATTTTAAATAATAAGATATCTTTCATAAAAAAAACAATCTGTATTGACAAAATACACCCTTTGATACAATTTGCCATTTCAGAATCTAAAGGATTCTGGGTAATTTAATGTACGTATCACAAAATGAAAATAATGTCACATCATTGGTTGAATTTCCATTGTTTAAGATGTAGTTAGCCTATCACAATTTTGAGGTGTATTTTATAGAAAATGTTGCCCAGAATGCATTAGAATCTGAAATAGTAAATTCTACAGGGGGACAATCATACCAGTATAACTGCTGGAGTAAGAAATTGCCAAGTGATTTTCCACCACGGTGAATCTGTACTGCCTGTCATGTCAGCAATATTATTCCACACCCGCTGGGCACCATATATCCAAGCTAACAACATGCATTCGCTTAGAGTGATGAAAAACAATGAAAATTTTGTCACACTGTTCAACCAGTAAAAGGAAATGTATAAACCTGCCTGAAAATATAAAATATTGATTTGTCACAGTCAAAGATTCATTGATGGTTATGTTAAGAGAATACTATGATATACCTTGAGCAAAAACATTGACTTTGTCAAAGATATAAATCATGATAGAGGCAAAAAAAAAATATGTTAGTTTCTCAAGCTTCATCTGTGTCAAATATTCAATTTTTTTAGAACATTTTTTAGAAAACACTTTTTTATTTTGTTTCAGCTGGAAATCAACCTGACATTTACCATAGGTTTTGGATCAATGCTATTTTCATAGAATGAAAATGAAATATCTAACAAGCTCACTTTGAGTTTTAAATTCCATTCTGATAATAAACTTCACCCAAACTGTAAAATTCTTAAGGTGAACAGAAAAAAAAAACGGTGTTGATGTTTATGGAGGTTTGCCTAAAAAATTATCTATTGTAGAAACATGAATTTATTGAATAAGATGTGTACTACATAAACCTGATTTGTAACCAAACATATGGCTATGGCTGTGCCAGAAATCAGTAATAATATTTCATAAGACTTGAAGTAACATATAAGTTTTTTTTTTTAAATTGCTAACAAATAATAGCATTAGACTAACATATAATACTGACACAATCTGTCATTGAAATTTCACTATCCAATAAGTCTGTTCATTTAACTTTAAGTAAAACAAATGCAGGGACTTCCTGTTAACTTACTTATTTTCATAGATTTTTTTTTGTTGTTACATGTTTAGCAGATATAGCATGATAAACAAATTTTCTAGTTTTCTTTGTATAGATATATTAAAATATCAGTCATGTGAAACTGTTAGAGCTTGTTTGCTGGGCTCACCCACTAACAATATATTTGTCTATTGGCAGATAGTTTTTTTTTATATCAATGTGAAGTCCTGATAATATTTACTTACTCTGTAATCAAGATAAGAAACTCACCTCAGTAACAGTTACAATGCTAAGCAATGATATAAGTAGACACACAGATCCCGCCATTATGTATTTAAATTTCCATCGGAATCGATATTTTTCTGGTAGGAGATGAAGTAATGCTGACACAATGTTCTGTAAATGGACTGCATGAGTATCTAGCCCAACTAAAGCCAAGGATATAAATATAAGTCCCATCCATAGTTTGGGTGAGGTAAATCCATATAATACTGATGGTACTATCACAAAACCTAGATCTATTGCTAAAAATAGAAACATACCATCAGGTAATTGCTAAAAATAGAAGTATATCATCAGGTTATTGCTAAAAATAGAAATAGACCTATACCATCAGGTTATTGCTAAAAATAGAAACATACAATCAGGTTATTATTAAAAAATAGAAATATACAATTAAGTATATAATGAAATTTAATTATATTTATCATTATTGCGAACCAAATGAAACTTTTCCACAGAGTCATCTCCTCTCAGTCAAGGTATTTACTGCTCTCAGTCAAGGTATTCAAACTTTTTTCAGTTCTATTGTCCCATTGAATAAATCCAACAGCTAGTTCTCTGTGTAGTTTATTCACTGGGACCTTCAAATTTCTTCTAAGAGAAATCCATCACTCATTGATTAATTTACCTGAGCAAAAAAAATGTCTTTTAAGTAGATGAAAATACATGTATCACTCACAAAACTACATGTGATGTTGTATTTATTCAATATCAATAATATATTTTCAATCTGTTCAATATAATCACTGATTTAATTATAACAAGAGGCTCTTAAGAGCCTGAATCGCTCACCTGTATTTCAGAGGAGAAGATTTTTAAATGTTAGCAAACTTGATGGACAAATTGTGTAAAATTGTCTTTAAAGGGCAATAACTCCTTAAGGGGTCAATTGACAATTATGGTCATATTAACTTTTTTGTAGATCTTACTTTGCTGAACATTATTGCTGCTTACAGTTTATATATATCTATAATAATATTCAAAATAATAACAAAAAACTGCAAAATTTTGTTAAAACTACCAATTCGGTGGCAGCAACCCAACAATGGGTTGTTCGATTCGTCTGAAAATTTCAGAGCTGATAGATCTTGACCAATTGAACATTTTTACCCCTGTCAGATTTGCTCATAAAGCTTTAGTTTTTGAGATATAAGCCAAAAACTGCATTTGACCCTTATGTTCTATTTTTAGCCATGGCGGCCATGTTTGTCGATGGATACAAACTTCAGATACAATTTATAAACAAGATACCCATAGGAACATTTAGGTCAAGTTTGAAGGTAATTGGCCCAGTAGTTTCAGAGGAGAAGATTTTTAAATGCTAGCAAACTTGATGAGCAAATTGTGTAAAATTGTCTTTAAAGGGCAATAACTCCTTGAGGGGTCAATTGACAATTATGGTCATATTAACTTTTTTGTAGATCTTACTTTGCTGAACATTATTGCTGCTTACAGTTTATATATATCTATAATAATATTCAAAATAATAACAAAAAACTGCAAAATTTTGTTAAAACTACCAATTTGGTGGCAGCAACCCAACAATGGGTTGTTCGATTCGTCTGAAAATTTCAGAGCTGATAGATCTTGACCAATTGAACATTCATACCCAATGTCAGATTTGCTCTAAAAGCTTTAGTTTTGGAGATATAAGCCAAAAACTGCATTTGACCCCTATGTTCTATTTTTAGCCATGGCGGCCATGTTTGTCAATGGATCAAAACTTCAGATACAACTTATAAACTAGATACCCTAAGAAACATTTTGTTAAAGTTTGAAGGTATTTGGCTCAGTAGTTTCAGAGGAAAAGATTTTTGAAATAGTTTACAACGACAGACGACGACGACAGACGACGGACGCCAAGTGATGGCATAAGCTCACATGGGGCCCTTTGGGCCCCGGTGAGCTAAAAAGTTGATTTCTGACAATTTTTTAGCAATGTTCCTATTGAAATTTGCATTTTTTTTGTTGTTTAGTTAAAGAATACATTTTAGAAGGCCTTAATTGAAACATCATCATTTTCCAGTTTTTATTTGTCAAACAGACAAAAAAAAAATTTCAATAGGAACAATGTTGAAAATTTTGTCAGTAATCAACTTTTTATGTTTGAATCATTGTTAACAGTAAACAGATCGAAAATATATTATTGATATTGAATAAATACAACATCACATACAGTTTTGTGAAGTGATACATGTATTTTCATCTACTAAGAAGACAATTTTTTTACTCAGGTAAATAAATCAATGAGTGATGGATTTCTCTTGGAAGAAATTTAAAGGTCCCAGTGAATAAACTACACAGAGAACAATAGGTATTGTATGTATTCAATGATACAATAGAACTGACAAAAGTTTACATTGACCAAGAGGAGATGACACTGTGGAAAAGTTTCATTTGGTTTGCAATAGGTTTTAGAGCATAAAAAATCAAGGTAATATCAGAAAACAAAGATCCATTAAAAGAAATAGGAAACATAATTCTCGGGAAAGCTCTAAACATTAAATTTGAATATTTAAGTTTTCTTAAATTTATAATTGTGTGTATTCCTATGGATTGCTGGAAAGGGACTTGAAAAGCAGCAACTTCAGAATATATGGTTTCTGATATACTACAATTGTTATAGTCCTCAAGAGTATCGTTTACCAGTAGTTATTGGTTTTGACCCAATATTGTATTCCTAATAAAGATTTGTAAAATTTTAATGACAGAATTGTGGCCTTTAGATGTTTATTTTTGGCATACTTCAATACTTGAATTGTTTTTACAATCTCATTTGCTTTTATCATAAGGCATCATTTGTAAGTTGAAAAGAAGAATAAAATTGTATTAGGAAAATCATCAAATATACATTAATTTTGGATTATTTTAGGATTTTATGAAAATTTTATTAAACTTTTTATTGAGATTCAAATATCTAACTAACAGCAAACACCTTAATTGGTCAAAAGTTAATAAATATTAGAGGATCATAAAGGTTTCTATTTCCAAATATTTTACAGCACTTAAGAAATCATTTATCTTGTTGTAATCATAACACAAATACATGTACAGTACCTGTAATATTAAGTGTGTCGCTAAGTTTCTGTCCCGTCTTTTCATTATACACACCAACCAATGAAAACAGTGTAAACCCAGCAAATACCATACCAAACAAATGTGCCAGTGTTGTTAGCAAAGCATTTCTGTGATAAAACAAAATAACTTTACAATTATTCAAGTCAAAAAGGCATGCAAAATTTGAGAGAGCAAATGATGAGATTTTAATACACACAAGCATCATAAAGTAGAACATATCTAGTCAGATTTAAATTCTAGCTTTGGATGCTATACTGCTAGAGTATAAAATTTTACTATTTTCTTTTTTTTCTTTTATTTGTTTTATTTTGTAGAGAATTCATAACTTTATTGATATAAATATTCATATTGAAGTCATGCAACTTTATTTTATCAAATGGGAATGCATTGGAAATTGATGTGAAATGTCCTCTGTTTTGATAATAATAAGACCAAATAATGGCTATAGCTATATACATATCCCTAGACTTTTGAGCAGGAAGTTTTGGGTTTTATTTCAATTGTACATTTAAACATTTAGTCTTAATGGAACATAATGGGTTTTTTTCTTCTTTAAATAACAATACATATTAGACAGAGGGATTTCCATTAAGCTTCATTTCAAATTTAGGCAAGCGTTTAAGATCAATGGTGGACAATTAAACAATAAACAATACATTTTTCGCCCACTTCAATTCCCAATAAAGAAAGATATTGTTTACATCAATTACATGATGCAAGAAACATATCGTACTACATTATATATATAATGAAACAGGAAGTTATTTATTAACCAATTACACAGTGAAAATATTTTAGTCAATCCAATATCAAAGTCTGACAATTCATTTCCCTTTTATATATAAAAACATCTAAACTTTCTAACACAAATTATATGTTATACAATATGATAACTTTGGGGCATTTGTACTTGTATCCTACAATAAAGTCTAATCTTTATAGGAAATATATTTAGAAGAAGATGTGTAATTGCTTGTCATCTCCGAATAATATAACCTAAAATGGCTTAAGTCCATGTTTTGTGTGGGAAACCCCCAAAATTACTCAGATCAAAAATTGAAATAGAAGTTGCAGAACTTCATACCCTGTAGAAGAATCTATGCATGTATTTTGAAATCTGTGAATTAAATTTTCAAGAGTTGGATGAAAAACACATGAAGAAAAACCTAAATGTCCATAAATGTAGCAACAGTACTTTAAGCGTTTTGAAAACATAAAGTCTTAGGAATGAATACTTCCTGTTTCTGACGTTACTTAAATAGATGTACATAGGATTAAACAAGAGAAACCGTTGTTTATCAATGATATAACATATCTCTCTATGTCTATTGGTTGCTTTATCTTAGATGTGTACCCACATATTTTATATCTTCACAAAGGACCACCATCTGCAAAAGGGATAGAAAACTACATCTTACAAACTTTTCGTCATGACGGTACCAAAAACTAGAGGCTCTAAAGAGCCTGTGTCGCTCACCTTGGTCTATGTGAATATTAAACAAAGGACGCAGATGGATTCATGACAAAATTGTGTTTTGGTGATGGTGATGTGTTTGTACATCTTAATTTACTGAACATTTTTCCTGCTTACAATTATCTCTATCTATAATTAACTTGGCCCAGTAGTTTCAGAGGAGAAGATTTTTGTAAAAGATTACTAAGATTTACGAAAAAATGGTTAAAATTGACTATAAAGGGCAATAACTCATAAAGGGGTCAACTGACAATTTCGGTCAAGTTGACTTATTTGTAGATCTTACTTTGCCGACATTTATCGTTTTTTACAGTTTATCTCTATCTATAATAATATTCAAGATAATAACCAAAAACAGCAAAATTACCTTAAAATTACCAATTAAGGGGCAGCAACCCAACAACGGGTTGTCTGATTCATCTGAAAATTTCAGGGCAGATAGATCTTGACCTGATAAACAATTTTACTTCATGTCAGATTTGCTTTAAATGCTTTGGTTTTTGAGTTAAAAGCCAAAAACTGAATTTTACCCCTATGTTCTATTTTTAGCCGTGGCGGCCATCTTGATTGGTTGACCAGGTCACGCCACACATTTTTAAAACTAAATAACCAAATAATGATTGTGGCCAAGTTTGGTTTAATTTGGCCCAGTTGTTTCAGAGGAGAAGATTTTTGTAAAAGATTACTAAGATTTACGAAAAATGGTTAAAAATTGACTATAAAGGGCAATTACTCCTAAAGGGGTCAACTGACCATTTCGGTTATATTGACTTATTTGTAAATCTTACTTTGCTGAACATTATTGCTGTTTACAGTTTATCTCTATCTATTATAATATTCAAGATAATAACCAAAAACAGCAAAATTTCCTTAAAATTACCAATTCAGGGGCAGCCACCCAATAACGGGTTGTCCGATTCATCTGAAAATTTCAGGGCAGATAGATCTTGACCTGATGAACAATTTTACTTCATGTCAGATTTGCTTTAAATGCTTTGGTTTTTGAGTAAAAAGCCAAAAACTGAATTTTACCCCTATGTTCTATTTTTAGCCGTGGCGGCCATCTTGGTTGGTTGACCAGGTCACGCCACATATTTTTAAAACTAGATAACCAAATGATGATTGTTGCCAAGTTTGGTTTAATTTGGCCACGTAGTTTCAGAGGAGAAGATTTTTGTAAAAGATTACTAAGATTTACGAAAAATTGTTAAAAATTGACTATAAAGGGCAATAACTCCTAAAGGGGTCAACTGACCATTTCAGTCATGATGACTTATTTGTTAATCTTACTTTGCTGAACATTATTGCTGTTTACAGTTTATCTCTATCTATAATAATATTCAAGATAATAACCAAAAACAGCAAAATTTCCTTAAAATTACCAATTCAGGGGCAGCAACCCAACAACAGGTTGTTCGATTCATCTGAAAATTTCAGGGCAGATAGATCTTGACCTGATAAACAATTTTACTTCATGTCAGATTTGCTCTAAATGCTTTGGTTTTTGAGTTATAAGCCAAAAACTGCATTTTACCCCTATGTTTTATTTTTAGCTGTGGCGGCCATCTTGGTTGGTTGGCCGGGTCACGCCACACATTTTTTAAACTAGATACCCCAATGATGATTGTGGCCAAGTTTGGTTTAATTTGGCCCAGTTGTTTCAGAGGAGAAGATTTTTGTAAAAGATTACTAAGATTTACGAAAAATGCTTAAAAATTGACTATAAAGGGCAATTTCTCCTAAAGGGGTCAACTGACCATTTCGGTTATATTGACTTATTTGTAAATCTTACTTTGCTGAACATTATTACCAATAACGGGTTGTCCGATTCATCTGAAAATTTCAGGGCAGATAGATCTTGACCTGATGAACAATTTTACCCCATGTTTAAAACTAGATACCCCAATGATGATTGTGGCCAAGTTTGGTAAAATTTGGCCCAGTAGTTTCAGAGGAGAAGATTTTTGTAAAAGTTTACGGACGACGGACGACGGACGACGGACGCAGGACGACGGACGACGGACGCAAAGTGATGAGAAAAGCTCACTTGACCTTTCAGGTCAGGTGAGCTAAAAAGTTATTAAAAAAGTCAGGAATAAAATCAAATTCTGTTCGTTTACTGTTGCAGCCAGACCAAAGCATACCTTACATGTCAGAGAAAATTTTGCTATTCTAAAACAGGAAAATTTCAAATACCAGTAATGATGCAAAATAAAGGTATTTTTTACATATTTCAAATGGAACAATATGTGTATTGATAAACACACTTGAGACAAATTTCAAAACAAAGGTTACAATATTGTTATAAAAGCTAAAAACTGTTTGACATGTTCTGATTTGTTTAGTAAAATTACAAAAATACAAATATGATCATATATTTTCCCGCAGATTTTTTTTTATTTTATCATTTTTTGTATTTTGTTTTGAAATTGATGATTCCATTTTTTCATGATATCTAAATCTTTTGTTGAGATTTGAGTACCCTGACATTAAGACCATTCTGGTCTACTCCAAAGTAAGTCACCAGGGGAGGTAATATACCTGAAACAATGACTGTGGAAGTGTGAGTATCCTGACATTAATGTAATGCATCCTGTTCCAATACCAAGGGAGGTAACCATTAACTGTCCTGCATCAACCCATATCTACAATGAATTTATATAACAAAAGTTAACACTGTATTTTGTTAGTAAATTTGCAAAATCATATTTTTTGTATATATAATCATGTAATTAAGGATAAATTCATAAGACCTGAAATTTTATGGCTTATATTTTTACTTAAAAGTCCTTATGACTTTAGCAAATAAAAACAAACGTATCTACATTTTAAATAAAAACTGTTAATTCTATAAATTAGACAGAATTTCCTACAACATCTACCTCCCACAATAAATAAACTTTTCCTTAAATGTCATAATCCTTTGGCATTAAACTTTTTGAATGCTTCCTTATTTCCTATGACCTTCAAATGTAAATAAGGATAATTGCTTCCAGGATTTATGATGTTCATACCAGTAATATTGCTATTTTGTGTCTCAATAAGATTAAAAAAAATCCGAAAGAAAAATTGCAGATATTTATACCACTTATCTCCTAATTAAAATCTGAGGTATGAAAAGTACATGTACTATGTACTGTAACATGTATGATTATCAGATATGTCTAGATTAATCTATGGCATGTACTGTAACACAGTTGTCAAATAAACACTGGTAATAATTGCAAACTTCACACTTTCACAGAATACAGTAAAAAAAAGACTTCAATTGAATTTCACTACAATAGTAATAGCATTTTGTCACTATGTCTTTATTACTGCAGTGTCTTCTAAAAGACTTAAGACTTACCAGAGAAGTTTATGTTTTTTGGATGACAAATCAGATTTTGTTGTTGAATGTATCTTGTGATTTTAGCTTGATAGTAAAATATCTCTTGTTAAAAGTTAAATATGATAACAATATCCACCAAATTTCCTTTAAAACATTGTTTTTCTGAGGTTTTTCTATATTTAGAAGTGTGGATTCCTTTATTTTCATTTCTACCAATTTTCGTGGATTCAGGAATTTATATTTTTGTGAATATTGTATTTTGTGGTTTTCAGGAATTTATATTTTCGTGAATATTGTATTTTGCGGTTTTCACAAATTCTGCATACAAGCCTATAGGAAACTTGTATTTCGTTAAAATGCATGAAAATTAGTACCCCATGAATAATAAACAACAGTGCACACGCTGAAATGTCTCGCCTGCTCTATTGATCATTGATCTTATGTTGAAAGTCCTAAATATAAAGCTTTACTAGTAGCCCATAAACTTAACATGATCCAAGAAAGTGAGGTCATGGTCAGATAAACCAAACCGGAAATAAATGTACACCTTACAATCGTTCCATACACCAAATATAGTTGACTTATTGCTTATAGTTTCTAAGAAACAAACTTAACCAGGAAAATTTAACATTGACAAATGAACCATGAAAATGAGGTCAAGGTCAGATGAACCATGCCAGACAGACATGTACACCTTACAATCATTTCATACACCAAATATAGTAGACCTATTGCTTATAGTATCTGATATATGGACTTGACCACGAAAACTTAACCTTGTTCACTGATCCATGAAATCAGGTCAAGGTCAGATGAAAACTGTCAGGCATTAGGACCTTGCAAGATACGCACATACTAAATATAGTTATCATATTACTCATAATAAGAGAGAAATTAACATTACAAAAAAATCTGCACTTTTTTTTCAAGTAATCATGCACTGAACCATGAAAATGAGGTCAAGAACAATGGTCATATGACAGACGGAAACTTCATAACATAAGGCATCTATGTATAAAGTATGAAGCATCAAGGTCTTATAGCTTCTAAAATATAAAGCTTTTAAGTAGTTAGTTAACGCTGCCACCAGATCACTATCCCTATGTTGAGCTTTCTGCAACAGAAGTTGCAGGTTCCACAAAAATCCACAGTGTGAATTTAGTGCAATAAGAAAATAAGATTTGTTATTACTTGAAAAATAATCAACCCTTTATAAATGCTTGCTTGATGGCAACTCATTATCCACTGGCAAATATTACATTAAGACCATGTGTATGCAGCTAAATACCAAACTGTCACAGAGTACTATTCGCCTCGAGTGTGGGAGGTCGTGGGTTTGATCCCCGGACTGTTCAAACCAAAGACTTTAAAATCAGTATTTGCTTCTTCTCTGCTAAGCATGCTGTTTAAGGGAGTAAGAGCAGAGATTGGTCAGCTGGGATGCAGAATAATGTGTCTGGGTAGGGTGACATATCTTCCTGCGGACTGTTACCTTGTGAACTAGTACTATAAAAATCTGGCTTAGCATGTCGGTCTAGTACAAGTTGGTTCATATCCATATCATGTTAACATGTTCTTGTCCTGAATATGGCATTTAATATGCCACTGGATGTTAAACAGCCATCCATCTATCCAGCCAGCCAATATGCCCCCTTAAGCTGGTCTTACTGATATAAATAATAATAAATATAGTCACCTGTAGTTTACCTAGAGCTTCCCAGTTCAAATTAAGGAATACTTTAATGCCTGTTACTGCACCCTCCTCAAAACACGTTCTCACTAATATAGTTATCAAAAATGTCACAGGAATTGGAAATGATATATAAACAGTCTGAAAAAAGAAGAAATGTAAAATTAATCAGCTTTCAAGAGTCTTGTTATTGAATAATCCATGAAACCAGTACAGATTTCAATAAAATATGCTCAATGTTCAACAACACAAGATGTTAAAGGCTTATAATATATAATTATGTACAGTTACAGGGGAAGTAATGACGTGGCTTTAACTGTTCTTTTACGCCAATCAAAATGTGACATATTTGGAAAAGATGGATTTTTTGACTGATTTTAATCACTAGCTTAAAAAGGAGTACATGGACCCCTCTAGTTAAAATGACTAGATTGATTATGTATGAAGATTATTAGTACCAATTTTCATGAACACATATATCACGGATGATTTTTTTTAAATAAGATAAATATACAGGAAAAAATGCCAATTTTTCTACACTCATGAAAATTTAATAGAAATGGATTATTTCTAAAGAATTGCTACACAAATTTAGAGCCTACTTATGAAAAAGAGTTATTCCAAATGTTTTTACAAAAAAAATAGCATGAGTTTTGTTGACCTCTTAAAACAAGAAAGTTAGGAAGGTTAGTCAAAAGGATAGAAATGTCCAAGAAACTGAAATTTTGCATAAATGTCTAAAATTTCAACCCCATTTATCTCTAAAAGTAGCACAAAAAGGTATTTTTTTATTGCATACTTAAATTGACTAGGTTAAAAATAGCTTGTATATAAATTTTGTAAAAAATTCACCATAGGAACAAAACTGTATGCCCTTAAACAGTATATAATAATTTGATGCTTGTACAATTGCTAGACACAAATCCTGCTCTCCTACAACACTATACAACAATACCAATTTATACAATATAATATTTGTAAATTTGCATATGTATTTCAAAATTTCAGATTCTAATTGGGATGAAAAATTTGGCCAAACCAATATCATCCTTCGTGTGAAATTCACAATTCCCTTATTTCAAATGTTAACAGCATGTTATATTCAGAAAAGTGTGTAATTTTTGTCTTGCTTGCTTTACTGATCATGATTGATTTAATGTTGATAGTCCTCAAGATAAAGTTTTACTACAAGTATCACATAAACTTAACATTATCAATGATCCATGAAAATGAGGTCACGGTGAGATAAAACAAGCCAGACAGACATGTAGACCTTACAATCATTCCCTACTCCAAATTTAGTTGACCTACTGTTTAAACATATAAGAAACAGACCAAACTATGAAAACTTGATATTGACCAAAAAACCATGAAATGAGATTACAGTCAGATGATCCTGACAGACAGACATGTTCATCTTACAAGCATTCCAAGCACTAAATATAGTTGACCTATTGCTTATAGTATCTAAGAAACAGACTTAACAAGGAACCAGTGAACCATGAAAATGATGTCTAGGTAAGACCAACCATGCAGACACACATGTACACCTTACAATCATTCCATACACCAAATATAGTTGACATATTGCTTATAGTATCTTAGAAGAGGCCCAAACTACTGAAAACTTATCATTGACCAATGAACCATGAAAATGAGGTCGACAGATGATACCTGCCAAACAGACATAAACACCTTCCAATCATTCCATACACTAAGAAAAGTTTACCTATTAAAGTTTACCTATTGCTTAAAGTATTAGAAACACAGACCAAACCACAAAAAAACTTATCATTGACCAATGAACTGTGAAAATGAGGTCAAGGTCAGATGAAATCTGCCAAACTGACATGTACACCTTACAATCATTCCATACACCACATATAGTTGACCTACTGCTTACATTATCTGAGGAACGGACCTAATCACATAACGCTTTCATTGATCACTGTTTCATGAAATGAGGTTGAGGTCAGTTGAACCCTGTCTGACGGACATGTAAGACCTTAAAAGGAACCTTTATATGAGTATAAGTTTTATAAAAATCTGGCAAGAATTGTACCTATTAGAGCGGTAACAAGACGACACGGACAAACAGACGGACGCCCGGTATTTCCATGTTCCCCGAAACGCGTTACGCGGGGGACAATTACCGGTATGCATGGGACAATTAAGGTGACAAGAATACTATACAGTTCTTTCAAGCAGTCGATGAACCATGAATATGAGGTCATAGACAATGGACATATATATGACAGATGGATTTTTGGTAATATAAGGCATCTGCATACAAGGTATGAAGAATTCAGGTCTTCTACCTTCTGAAATACAAAGCTTTATATAAATAGTTTACATCATTGCCGATGCGTCAGATAAGCATCCATATATCTGCATTCTCAAGTTGCAGGCTAGACAAAATAGGACTTTTACCACAAAAATGTGCTAATCTAAAGAACAAAAATGTTACTGTCAATCCAATCACTTTTTGTCATTTAAGAATCATCACATCAAAATATGCTTTTTAAATTTGGTGGAATTTTTTGGGGGAACAAAATTGTTTGATTTGAATTTCTTCAGTTTGAGATCTGAACAGTTTGAATTCAATGTAAAAATATCATCTCTGTTGTATAAGAACATTTATCAACCTTCTTTACCACACTATCAGATTCACTCAAGCATAATCTGGCTTCAATTGATAATGAACTTCTCACAAGGTACGAAAAATTAATTTCCTGTAGTAAATCACTTCAGAAGTTATTACATTGATTTTTCATTATCTTCTTAAACTAATTAATAGTCTTCAAAAAACTTCAAACACTCTAATTTCTTTGATAACAGTTTTTTTTCTCTATGGCATGATAAATTAAAAATATGACAGTAAAAAGAAATCAATATCTGAGGGTCTGGCTGGGGTTTACAGAATAGAGAATATACAACTAATACTACCAAAAATGTGCAAACAAATAAAGAATATAGAAAAAAAAAAAAAAAAAATGAAAGTAAAGATAATGGGGTAACTAAAATATAAAGAATGGAGAAAAAGGGGTAATTTTTCATCTAATTGAGAGAACAATTATTGTTTAGAAGCCAATGTCAATTAAAAAATTTCAGACATAACTTCAGCTAATTAAAGTTTTCCATTAACTAAACTGACCAACATGAAATAGACTTCATGGCAATTTGGGGATTCTGCAATCCTTGACCACAGGTTTTTGGGTTTTGGGACACTTGTCCTATAGATTTGATATATATCAACGAATTTTGCACAGTGGCATCATACATTTTTCTCTCAAGACACCAAATTGGTTAAATTAGTATTTTTGCAGTATTATTTGATATCTATAGTTTATACCACTGCAGTGAGTGCAATACCATACAATATTTCTCCTCTAGTCAGCTAAATTTTCAAATTGAAAATATGAATTTAATATTTAAAATCTTAATGTCGGGAGGAGAGAAATATAATATTACAGCTAACTGTTTCTCTAATGATTTTAAGGCAATATTTAGGCAAACTATCTTTCTTTTTCAATGATTTGCAAAGATTGTGTTATATTCATGTGACGTCATCAGGCATTGTTACCTTTTTCATGATGTCAAAGTAGCAAAGATTGAGCAAAGCAAGAAAATTTGACGTCATAATTGAATTTTGACCACTAAAGAACATCAAGCAAACAACATATTGACTATAAAGTAAATAATCAGCCATTCAGGAAAAGTATCAATTTACGAAGAATAAGAAAAATACATATGTCAAATAGTTATGAATATATACACCCACGTATATATATAACCTATATAATTATCACCTTATAAATTCCTTACAATGTAATACAATGAAACTTAATATCTATACCCATAATACAAAGATATCAGAAAAATAATAAACAACACAAAATCAATAGATTATCATTAACCATGATGATAGAAACTTGAGTATTTGCTGAGCTATTCAGTTTTGACATGACAACTAAATTTTTGCTATTTTCAGTGATACTTCCTAAGCCATATTGGTTCTCAGCATAAAAGACACATATCAAGTTCTGACCTTAATGAAATAAATTCAGATTTTTGTTTATCCTAATTTCTAATCCATTAATGCCATATTGGCTTTGTATACTAATTTCCAACACAAGGTGACAATCTGAATTTGACATGTCGACAAAATGAAGAAACATCTTTCAATTCTTGTATGTTGGATCTCTGCATCTTTTGATTTTTGTCACTTTGGGTTGCTGTCTCATTGGCATAAATGTATAACCCACATCTCTTTATATTCATATCTGTTTTTAAGAACCATGGACTTCTTATATAACTGTGTGTTATGATCCAATACTGACCTTTCCTATGGACTGTGGACCTCTAATGATAACAAAGTAGACTAAGGTCCAACACAGGATCAACACCAACAGTAAACGCCACTGAACATCTCCCAAACTCTCTATACCATTTGATATGTTTAATACTGAATTACTGAAAATACATGATTAATCAATAAAAGTATTATAATTTATCATGATAGTGATGAAAACAAAACAGTGACACTTTCTTTTCCAAATAGTTGCTCAAAACCAATGGTGTAAACTGTTCTTGTTGCTCAGTCTTTAGTTTTCTATGTTGTGTTTTATAGACTGTTGGTAGTTTTTCGTTTTTTTTCCGAGGCATTGTCAGTTCATTTTGACTTAAGAGTTTGAATATCCCTGTGATATCTTCAGCCTCACTTTTTCAATACTCTGAAGTGAGGGAGACAAAAGGCCATGATCATTTTCCATGGTTATTGACACATCATATTGAGGTGCTGCACCCATGTGTCAAACATGTGTCAAACATAAAAAGCCTAGCTATGTCAAAGGAGAAAAAAGTTATGTTGCAGACAGGAAAATGTTAAAATGAAATCAATGTATTTTGACCTTGAGGTCAAAGATCAAAGTCACCAGGTTAAAATATCCAGGTTTTCTACCTTCTGAAATATAAATATTTCTAGAAATAGTTAAGGTCCTTGCTGCCACATTAGTATCCCTATGTTTCACATTTAGCCAGTTATGTCACAGGTGAGACAAAAGTAAAATTATTAACTACAAGTTTTACAGTTGTGTGTTTCAACAATCAAAATAGTACATTTTGAATTATAAATATCCGTCTTTGTAATATTAAAATGGTATTATACTTTTTAATCTGAATTTATATTTTTCAGTTACAAAACTTACTAGAAATATGTAGAATGCTGCAATGATGGGTCTGTACTATCTGTACTATTGACTAAATAAATACTAGTATTGTGTGAACATCCTGAAAATAAAACAATAAATCATGAGTAAAACTTAGAAGTCATGCTGGTTAACAAATACAATAGAAAGGTACCAAATCTCGACAGTCAAATCTTTATGTCCAAGAGCTAGTATTTCAATGCCACCTTAATATCAAGTTTTTTTAATTAAATGCGTGATAGACGAACGTCTATAATGTTAATAACACTTTATACATTTTGTGCATCTGAAAGCACTTGTCTACTTACCTTTATCATATAACAACCTGGAGGCTTAGAGGAGAAGGAATGAGTCTCCTAGCAGTTTTACTCCTTTTTGGCTTAAGAAAACATAACTTCTGACAGGTTTAACTACAAAATGGCTTTGTTTTTATCAATTCTCTAAAGTTTAAAAATAGTTTGCCTGGTGGTTTAAGGAGAAGATTAAAGAACTAGAGGCTCTCAAGAGCCTGTGTCGCTCACCTGTATTTACTGATGCTTTGGAAATCATGTAAAATAAGGTTAAAATCATAATTAATAGTATTAGATATTAGATATTATAATGATATCTAAGATAATAACAAAAAACTGCAAAATTTTTGTAAAATTACTAACTCAGGGGCAGCAACCCAACAACAGGTCGTCGGATTCGTCTGAAAATTTCAGGGCAGATAAATCAAAATCTGATAAACATAGTTGCCACCTGTCAGATTTGCTCTAAATGCTTTAGTTTCAGAGATATAAACCAAAAACTGCATTTTACCCCTATGTTCTATTTTCAACCAAGTAGGCCATGATGGTTGGAAGGCGGGGTCATCGACCAAATTTTTTAAACTAGATACCCTAATAATGATTATGGCCAAGTATGGTTAAATTTGTCTCAGTAGTTTCAGAGAAGAAGATTTTTGTAAAAGATTACAAAAATTTACAAAAAATTGTTAAAAATTGACTATTAAGGGCAATAACTCCTAAAGGGGTCGACTGACAATTTTGGTCTTGGCAACTTATTTGTAGATCTTACTTTGCTGAACATTATTGCTGTTTACAGTTTATCTCTATCTATAATAATATTCAAGATAATCACCAAAAACGGCAAAATTTCCTTAAAATTACCAATTCAGGGGCAGCAACCCAACAACAGGTTGTCAGATTTGTCTGAAAATTTCAGGGCAGATAGATCTTGACATGATAATCAGTTTTACCCGATGTCAGATTTACTCTAAATGCTTTGGTTTCAGAGATATAAGCCAAAATCTACATTTTACCCCTATGTTCTATTTTTAGCCATGGCGGCCATCTTGGTTGGTTGGCGGGGTCATCGGACACATTTTTAAAACTAGATACCCTAATGATGATTGTGGCCAAGTTTGGTTAAATTTGGCCTAGTGGTTTTAGAGGAGAAGATTTTTGTAAAAAGCTAACTACGACGTACAACGGACGCCAAGTGATGAGAAAAGCTCACTTGGCCCTTCGGGCCAGGTGAGCTAAAAATGGGCAAGTAATTTCAAAGATTGCCACTGTCTGCCAAGTGTTTCTATTAAGGGCAGTAACTCCTATAAGGGTGAAGTACATCAGTAATGTCAAATTGGTAATACTGTACCATTTCAATCATTTCAACTGGCTTCACAATGAAGGAGATATTACCTCTAATTGAGTCAGGAATAAGGCACAAAATGCAATAATACAGATCCTGTGTCCAAATCAAGCTTTGCTTACAAGGATCTGACAACACTCTGTTCTACTGTCTGTTTTTGTAATGAAATTTGAGCATTAAAATTTCTTTAATGAAATTATTCATGCCTATCTTTTAGAGGAAACTTGGTCACAAATTAAACCAAATTTAGCTAATTTACTATTAGTTGTGTTATTAACTGTTAAAAGCATAAGTACCTTGATATGTGCAATTCCACGACTGATCTGAACAAATTGATATGAAAAACATGTACAAAGACCATACTGATGTCATGTTACAACAAAAACTCATGGCTCCTGACACACACACCATACATACTCCTATACCTGGAAAATAATATAATACTTTTATAATCAAGGAAAATATACTCTTATTTTATACCTACATGTTACTATAAGTTGAAGACGGAGTAGGCTTTTTAGAAATAATAAGATTTGGAAACTGGGGATGATTTACCGAAAAGAGAATAATGGTCTAAAAATAAAGAATTGCTAAACAATAAAATAATACTGACAGACCATACTAACCATTGTGTGCTACTATTTTATCAAGAACTAGATATGGACAATGCCTCCCCCCTGACCGTTGTGTGCTACTATTTTATCAAGAACTAGATATGGACAATGCCTCCCCCCCTTTTCTGCTCTGCCATATGCATAAGTATAGTTCCACATATTTTAGATTTGACAAACAGTGATGTTGGCATACAACTTGAAATTGTTATGCTGTCTGTAAGACACAAATGATGCCCCGCCTGACCAACTACCTGTCATTTTCAGAATATTTGAAAAAAAATCAAAATCCTGTGGCCAAGCACGCCTCCATAATGTGTTTGAACATCCTACAAAATATTAAAGCTGTATCTCCAAAACTGTAGGAGGAGATAGCCAGACAAACCATGATCTCTTTATGCAGCTTGTACAAAAAAAAATGACTAAGTCCAACTACCTGTCATTTTCAGAATATTTAAAAGAAATCAAAATCCTGTGGCCATGCACACCTTCATTATGTGGATGAACATCCTACAAAATATTAAAGCTGTACCTACAAAACTGTAGGAGGAGATAGCCGGACAAACAATATATCCAAAGTCAGACGGACGGACGGACAGGGGTAAAATAATATTCCCCTCGACATTTTGTCATGGGGGCATAAAAATTAAGATTGGTCAGTTTATGTTAGCTTGATGTTACCCAAGAACCTCGTAAGCTACCACATTAAAAATCTGGAACAGTGTGTAGAAGAAGTACATAGCAGGTTCATATTCATAAATGATGAATATGGATGAGTGATTGGAAAATAAGCATACATATCTACCAATTCTCTAAACTCCAACCACCTGTTCAAGATATTCAAATGTAAAACTATAGGAAGAGTTACCTTTCATTAATGGGACAACACCCCATGCTGTAATTGGTCCACCTCTAGCATATTGTCCTAGAATCATTTCTATATATAAAAGGGGAAATCCAAACACCAACATCAGGACCAAATAAACCACAAAGAAAACACCTAAAATAAAAAGAACATTTTCATGATAAATTTCAAATGCAAGAATTTATTTTTTCAGAATCATATTAAAGATGACTTCTGCACTGTAAACCAACTTAATATTACAAGAGATTTTTTTTTGTGGCGAAAAATTATGTGAAAGTATTCTTTTGTGAAAATCTATAACTTGGATCTTCTCTTATATAAATACAGAAAGAAAATTAGAAAATCATGAAAATAAATTGCAGCCAAGTTGGATGGGAAGGGACACAAAATGAACTATCCAAAAAATTGAGTTGTTTTACAGTAAATATATCATAAAAGAAAAGATACTGAAGAGGAAGAAAAATATAGACAGACCAATGACTGTTGAGTGTCCACTTGTACCTTACATATCCCTCAAAAACATGCATTCTACTATCCAAGTCCAAAAAATTATACCACCCAAAGTAATAAGGGGAGGGGTGAGAGCCTACAAACATGTTCAACCCTCCCCACTCTATATTTGCATGTCCAAAGTTAAAGGGGCCTGTAATTCAGTGGTTTTCATTGGTTGCTGTTTGCCATATCTTTTTTTTTTTTCATTACTTGTTTTGTCATATATCAAGCTGTTTTTTGTTTGTTTGTTTGGATTGTTTAGACTTTTATAGCTTACTATAGAATATGGGTTTTGCTCATTGTTGAGTGCAGTATGATGATATATAGTTGCTAAATTCCGCTTGATCTGGACTCTTTTGGATATTTGTCTTATTAGAAGTCATTCCACATCTCTTTATCTTATATCAACATACCAAGAATATTTTTAATGTATATCATTTTTTATTTTGAAGCTACAGTAAGAAAAACTATAAGATAGGCAAGTTATCTAATGTGGTCCTCAAAGGGAGAAATATCAGAATTATCCTTATTCCTATAAAAATAAGTTTGCATAGTTATGTAATATAACTTTTTGATATTTCTTTTTCATAGTTGACCTACATTATATTGACCAACTTTTAGTAAAGTCTCATGTTTGACTTAACTAGATGTATTCTTATAAAAAGATATGGTTATTATGAGACCAACAGTATCTAAGAAACGAACTCAGATGTCAAAAATTGATTTCAGTCAATGAAATAAAGGTGAGGAAGATTTTCTAATAAAAAAGATTGTTATACTCCGCACAATGCATATAACACAAAGTTGTAAATTAATTTACTAATCGATGTATAATTTCAATAAAGAACAGGAAATTGTTGTTGTCCATTTGATATACCATGATGGTTTCCCACTAATCACAGGAGAATGTTGCCAGTCTTTTGTAAATTCAGCCTATAGTTCTTTTTTCATAATTTATATGCCTGAATTGTCTCCTATGCCTTGCATGTACTCCCATAGTACTTAATTTCAGGAAAAACATGGTTTTAAAATTAATTTAAGAGTGCATTTATCTTTGGTAACATCTAATTTCAACTTAATTTTCCATATCAAATGATTCAAGTACATTGAAATTAATATAGAGGCCTTTGATGGTCTGTATAATGGAAAAGAAATTATATGGTGCATCGATCAGTTCATGACAAAAAATCACTACATGCACATGTAAAAATTAAAAACAAAAGAACAGTGCTTTGTATTTTCTGTATTAAGTTAAAGTGTTTGTTGGCTAACTATTGAAAGTGTTTGCAAAAAGACTTTACCAGTTTTAACTTAGTATATTAATTAACCTTTGCCTGGGCAGTCTTTAGCATCCGTTTTTTTTTCATTTCTATTTTTGGATGTATTCAAATATCTAATAAATTTGGAGGTATTTTTGCCTTTTGTAGTTGAGGAATAACTTGTAATAATGGATTTAGTAGAATATTAAGTTTAAGACCCTAGTAACACTTCAATTTTTCCAGATAGAGATTTAAAAAAGATCCATGGAAAGATTGATCTACTATCGGACTTAAGTCTACTTCTAGAGGTAGTTTTATAAAGAACTATCTTTTTTAAATTGATTTTTTTTCAAGTATAAACAAGGTGATAGATTTTTAGAACTTTTCATAAGTGAAAGGGATATATTTAAAAATGAAAATAATTCTGAGAACGTTCAATTAGGAAAAAATACACGTTTAAAAACAATGGATGGGACAAGAGGAGAATCCTGGAGAGACCAAAATGTCCAGGACCACCTGGAAATTTAAAAGAATATATATATATATATATATACAAGTCTAAATTGAAAACAACATTCAAACCTATGATTGCGTTGGATAAAAACCGCAATTTTTATACGTGTGCATGCAAAACAAATTTCTTGTTAGAGGGGTCTAAATACAGCACAAACAACATTTTCCAAAAGACCAAATAAAGTGAAAAAGTATATTTTAACAAAACGCATTTGACTAACAGGTCAAACAACAAATGTTCTTAAATCCTGCTGACTGCCATTGGCGATTGCCAAATAAACGGATCACAAGGTGTAATAAATGGATCTTAACTATAAATTTAATACCAAACAGAAAAGAATAAACTTGCGGCAAAGATGGTATACGGCAAACAAAGGTGCAAAGATTTTTTGTACACCATATCCGGATTTCGACAATTAATGTCTCTTCAGTGATGTTAGGAATCGAACGGTTATTGGAAGGCCACATAATTTACCTCAATTTAGAATAGACTCTTGAATTTTCAGGAGTCAAAATAGGATGAACGGATCATTTAAACCCGAAGGCAAATATAATACAAGCTGAAACGAAAAAATATAAACAAGTCTAAATTGAAAACAACATTCAAACCTATGATTGCGTTGGATAAAAACCGCAATTTTTATACGTGTGCATGCAAAACAAATTTCTTGTTAGAGGGGTCTAAATACAGCACAAACAACATTTTCCAAAAGACCAAAAAAGTGAAAAAGTATATTTTAACAAAACGCATTTGACTAACAGGTCGAACAACAAATGTTCTTAAATCCTGCTGACTGCCATTGGCGATTGCCAAATAAACGGATCACAAGGTGTAATAAATGGATCTTAACTATAAATTTAATACCAAACAGAAAAGAATAAACTTGCAGCAAAGATGGTATACCGCAAACAAAGGTGCAAAGATTTTTTGTACACCATATATATAAGTCTAAAGATTTGCACAACGGTACTAATATAAGATGATAATATATGAAGATGATGTCATAAAATCGTGTTGACAAATAATGTCAATAAATTTAACAATACTGATATATAGACATATGCATGTGATTTAATACAGGATCCCCAATTTCGTAATAAAGAAATATTCATGTTATCATATTCTATTTTTATGATTGTTTGACTACTAAGACCAATTTCCTTTTATATTGCAGTGTAAATGAACTGGATCTAAAAATACTGATCAAGATCGATCTTGCTTGAAAAAATTGAACACAAACTGGTCTTTTAAGATCCATTCAAATAAAAATAGGTTCAATGTTGTACAAGTGTAAAGACGGTCTAAAAAGTGTAATTCAAAAAACTAAAATTCTAAATGTTTGCAGTTCTCTATTTAAAATGCATATTTGTCAACAAAATTTAAATAAATACAAAAACTATATAATATTCATTTCTGAGTAGATCACATAAAAACTCTTCTAAGTCATGAAATATTCAAACTGTTATCAGTTCAGAAGAATTTAAAACATGTAGATTTCAAAGTTTACTGATTTTTTTTTTTATTCCTGTCCCAAGACATTGAATTTAGATTGATTCTTACTTTTTTTTTTAAACTGTAATTACATTTTGAACATATTTGATTCACGAAAAAAGAAATTTTCTACCAATTTTAATGAATGATTTAGATTATAAATTATCATATGCAGAGAATATCAATTTCAAAGTTAAATACCCAAAAGAATTGTTTTCATTTGGATATAATGACTTTTCTTCAGGATTAAGTAAATGTCTGACTCGGATTAGCTTAATAATATGATGTTGATAGCTTTTTTACATCCCAAAATTTAAAAAAAATTATCTGCATGGAATGTAAATAAATAGAAATTATAATATAGTAAGAAATTTTGTTATAAGTAAAGATTTAAGATGCCAGAAAAAGTTCTACAAATATGTTCATATTACAGTCTCAAGACTCATTTAGGATATTTACAAGGCACAATATTCCTTTATATCCCAAATTTGTAAGATCTGTTATTTTCTGAACTACTCCTATTGCCCTTACCATAACCATAGAGAACCTGTACTGCTATCATAAATATATTGAGATAAAAATATAACATTTTAAGAAAGAACAAAAATAAAAACAGCATTGACAAGTAAGCTTTGGAGTAGAAATCTGAGAAGTTTGTGAGTGTATGAGTGTTGACAAATGAGAAGTGATGGCAATAGCTCACCTATAGTGAGCTAAATCTTTTTGGTTACATTGGAAAGAATTATATTAATTAAGTACAATTTCTTTTTTCTTTTTTTTCTTTGTGTATACTAAATTATTTTCCTGTATTGCATTTCATGTCAATAATCTACAAATATAGACTGAATACTTTTCAAGTTTCCAATGTTCAAATACACATCATCAACTCTATGTGTCTTTAAAAATCTGTGACATCATATAATTATGGCCTTCATCAATAGTTAATATCCATAATTATTAAATAGAGGAAGGCTATTTTCCCTAAGGTCCGCTAGATTTAATAACTTTGTATATCAACATTTTATGAAGAACAAAATTGTATAATTATACTGAACTAAATAGCTTATATAAATATAATGAGATATGGCATAAATGCCAATGAAGCAACTATCAACCAAATGACGTGGTTGTAGTATGAAGCAATTAGGGCCAGCAGGTCACTTTATTCAATAATTAGCAAAACCCATTTCCCATAGTTATTTAATAAAGGCCCAGACATGTCAAAATGTAAACAATTCAAACAAGAAAACCATTGGCATGATAAAACAATAAACAAAGCACAGATATGACAGACAGCAAACAACAAAAACCATTGAATTACATGTTCCTTACTTTCAAACTATCGGCAAACAGGAAGTGACTACACTGAGGATGTAAAAAACTGCTTACTCGATCTAACTCTACATCATCAAGCTGCAGACCAAATATTCAAATAATTCCCTTTCATTGAAGCCAAGAAAACTTTGACTAAAATGTTCTTGAACAATTAGTGTTGTAAAATTTCAAACTATCAGCAAACAGGAAATGGCTACATGGCAGATGTAAAAAATGCTTACTTGCTACAACTCAACCTTATCAAGCTGCAGACCAAATATTAAATCATTCCCTTCAATATGAGCCATGAAAACTTGGACAATTGTTTTCTTTCAGACAAATATGAAGAGACAGACGAACAGACAATGGAGTTGAGCAGTTACTGGACCTGCTTCCGCCCTTGGCAAAGCAAGTAAAATTTAGTTGTAAAAATTCATCGACATGTGATTTCATGGATATTTTAAATGGTTCTTCTCATATGATCAGTCATACTTCAATTTCATATCAAAAAGACTTTACACTTGATCTTTAATTATGCTGCATTAAAACTGCTTAGCTTGCATTTTGTTGATACCTGTAATTCTCACAATCATCTGCAAATGTATTTTTCTTACTTACCGCCACCATATTTTAGAGACAAATACGGAAATTTGACTATTGTTTCAAAACTGGTAACAAAACCACAACAAGCAAGCAAGTACTCTATCTTCCGATCCCATCCAATATGTTCATCTAGTCTTGCAGAAGCTGTCTCTGGGTTCTCTCCCCTCTCTACCGTACTTGGAATTTCAATCATCGAGTCATCATCTAAGTCAATACTGTCCCCTATACAATTAGCCTCCATTTGTGATGCTTGTGATTCCTGAAATTTACAAATGCTGAGTTTAATTTTTACTGAAAAAAAAAAAAATTAAAATGAAATAATTTCTAAATGGTTAAAAAAAAAATAATTTAATGTGCATTCTCTTCTTTTAATACTAAAATATGAGGGTTGTAGACTGGTATTTTCTAGTGGTATGCTTCATACTTTCAGTTCACTTTCCCATAATATTGGATCCCAGCATCCTCATCAACCTAAAGACATTACATTTCAACTTAAACTCTGTACAATCATGACCTTATCATCCTTCGAAACCTTAATGTTGTCTTTATTAAGTCATTGAACCACGAAAATAAGGTCAAGGACAAGTGTAATATTCTTGTTGGAAACTTCAGACCATAAGTCATCTTCATACTAAAATGGATTGTCTAGCTTTTCAGTCTTCTGAAATATTTAGCTTTATACAATTGTTTAATGCTGCACTTGAGCATCCCTAAGTCATGACCAAAAATAGGAAAATGGTGTTACACCTGACTGTAAATTCTAGAACTGTAATTACGAGAAAAGAGAATGGAAACAGGGAATGTGAAGAAAACAGCCCAAGGTCACCAATGGGTCTTCAAGTTCAAATGAAGTGGATGAATTATATGAAACAATTTAATGTATACTAATTCAGCAAAATGGACTCCACACTAAACTCCAAAACACACAAATGAATCAATATTAAAACTAGACATGGACAATGCCCCCCCCTTTTTTCTGCTCTGCCATATGCATGAATATAGTTCCACATATTTTTAGATTTGACAAACAGAGATGATGGCATACAACTTGAAATTGTTACACTGTCTGTAAGACACAAATGATGACCCCCCCCCCCTGACCATAGCAAATTATTAATTTAACACTATGTATGATATAGTAACTGCAGGAGGAGATAGCCGGACAAACCATGATCTCTTTATGCAGCTATTACCAAAAAATATCACTAAGTTCAACTACCTGTCATTTTCCAAATATTTGAAAAAAATCAAAATCCTGTGGCCATGCACACCTTCATTATGTGTATGAACATCCTACATAATATTAAAGTTGTACCTCCAAAACTGTAGGAGGAGATAGCCGGACAAACAATGTATCCTAATCTGGACGGACGGACGAACGGACGGACAGACGGATGGAAAGGGGTAAATTAATATCCCCCCCAATATTTTGTCACGGGGCATAACAACACTCAGGACAGGCGCAAAAGTGCGGCAGGATTAAACATGTATTTAAGTTATCAATCCTCCCTCTATACCTCTAGCCAATGTAGAATAAACAACCACACAGCAATATGCACAGTAAAACTCAGTTAACATGGAATGTGTAAAAGAAAATATATGGTTTATCAATTAATGACAAAACATCCTTGAATGCATTTGATACATATGAATAGTCCTTCATAAAAGTCACACTGGTGCCTTCAACATGGATCATAAGCTCACATCTCACTGAAAGTTGAAGATGAATTATGTCACTGGTTTGAGCAGAATCATTACCAAACAAGGATAAAGTTATCTGTGCATAGGATATATCCTTTCCTCCAAATAAACATACATTAAAATTTTGCTTTCTAATTATTTCCTTATCAAGAAATAAACTAACTGAATATATCATTATTCCAATTAGTAACACACACAGCCTTAATTTAAGGAATGTTCAAATTAAAAATTTTTTTTTAACTGACAATAAATGGTTGTCCTTTCAGCTACTATGCTATTTTAGCCAAAAATAATTGTTTTTATGTATAACAGTTTTGACATCCTCTGACTGTTGCTGCATGTAAAATTAATTACAATACCTAATCTATTATATATATATATATTAGTTAAATTTTCAAATTTACAATGTTAAGATTGCAGAACATAAAATAGCATGGGTTTGCTGACAAGCAAGGAATAATTGGAATTATTAAGCATGAAAGGTAAAACAAGGATTTCCTTTTCTTCCACGAGATCACATTCAAACTTACAGAGAGGCAAGATTTTTTTATATCATTCTGACAACTTAAGTTATAATAAACAAGAGGCTCCTAAGAGCCTGAATTGCTCAGCTGTCAATATATCTTGCATGCCGATAATTTTTTGCTGTTTACAGTTTCTCTCTATCAATTATACTTTTTGAGATAATTAGGTAAATAACATAAAAACTAGTAAAACAAGAGTGCACACGCTGAAATGTCTTGACTGCTTTACTGACTATTGATTTTATGTTGAAAGTCTTAAAGATAAAGGTTTTACAACAAGTATCATATAAACTTAATATTTTTAAATATCTGTGACAATGAGGTCAAGGTCAGATAAATCCTTTCAAACAGACATGTATACACCTTACAATTATTCCATACACCAAATAAAGTTGACCTATTGCTTATGGTAATTGAAAAAAAGACCCAAAACACAAAAACTTAACATTGACCAATAAACCATGAAAATAAGGTCAAGGTCAGATGATACCAACTAGACCAACATGTACATCTTACAATCATTCCATACACCAAATATAGTTAACCTATTGCTTATACTATAGTACTTGAAAAACAGACCAAAACACAAAAACTTAACATTGACCAATGAACCATGAAAATGACATCAAGGTCAGATGATACAGGCTAGACCAACATGTACACCTTACAATCATTCCATACACCACATATAGTTGACCTATTACTTATATTACTTGAAAAACAGACCAAAACACAAAAACTTACCATTGACCAATGAACCATGAAAATGAGGTCAAGGTCAGATGAAATTTTGCCAAAGTACCCCTTACAATCATTCCATACACCACATATAGTTGACCTACTACTTATAGTATCTGAGAAACAGACCTAATCACATAACTTTAACCTTGATCAATCCATGGAATGAGGTTAGGGTCAGCCTAACCCTGTCTGACGGACATGTAAACGTTGCAAAGAAACCATATACCAAATATAGTTATCCTATTACTCATAATAAGTGAGAAATTCACATGACAAAAAACTATAATTTTTTTTTCAAGCAGTCACTGAACCATGAAAATTAGGTCAAGGACAATGGACATATGACAGACAGAAACTTCGTGACATAAGGTATCTGCATACAAGGTATGAAGCATCCAGGTCTTCTACCTTCTGAAATATAAAGCTTTATACAAATAGTTTACACCTCTGCCGCCGCGGCCACCGCATAGTTATCCCTATGTCTAGAATTCTGCGAAGCAGCTGAAAAAAAGAGCAAGACTTGTCTGATAATTTTGGTTGGGAAAAGAAAATATAGGTAGATCTCATCATTCTGATTTTTTGTCACAGTTGGATTTTCTTTTATAGTTTATGGTTATAAAGATATATCCCTCATGAAAAAAAAATTCTGATTATTGTCTGAATTTGTCTGAAAATGTCTGAATTTTTGCTGAAATTGTCTTACATGATAAATGGTGTCTGAATTTTTCTGAATCCCGATATTTCTATTCTGAATTGATGCTGACAATTCTGAATTTTTGCTGAATATTTCTGAATCAATAAGAATTTTATTCAGACAAATTAAGAACTTCTGAAAAGTGTCTGAATTGTTCTGAAAGTGTCAGAATTATGTTCAAGAATGTTAGACGAATTGAGAATCTGTCTGTATCAGTAAGAATATGATTCAGACAAATTCAGAACTTCTGAAAAATGTCTTAATTTTTCTAAATGTGTCAGAGCTATGTTTAATAAATTGTTGACACAGATGACTAACCTTTTTGTTATGTTGACACTAAAATGCAAATGTTGAAATCAAAATAGTAATAGTTTAATATGTAAGTAATACAAAATATTCAAAGTCAATGAACCATGACTGAAGGTACAGGGCCAAACAATTCCATGGAAATGAAATTTGCCAATGCGAATAAATAATTTGCATACCAATTATCAATAGACCATGACAGATGGAGCAGGGTCAGATTATCTCCATGGAAATGAGATGTACCAATGCCAGTTAAACTGCATACCAAATATCATTGACATATCACAAACTAATACAGTTGTAAACTAAGCAAAAGTTTCAAAATCTATAGACCATGACTGAGGGGGTATGGTCAAATAATCACAATGGAAATGAGGATGTATGTACTATGCTAGTTCAACTAGTGGTTCCCCATAAACTGACCTAATCACAAACTAATACATGAAGACTTAGCAAAAGTTTCAAAGTCAATAGACCATGACAGAGGGTGCAGGGTCAAATAATTTCCATGGAAATGAGGTGCACCAATGCTAGTTTAACTGCATACCAAATATCATTGACCTACCACTAGTGGTTCCCCATAAACTGACCTTATCAAACTAAAACATGTAAACTAAGCAAAAGTTTCACAGTCACAAATTAACTTGTAATACGTTGTTCAAAGCCACTGCCGTCGCCGATGCCGGAAACAGCACACCTATATATATGTCTCGATTTTTTGTTTCTTCAAGGAGAGACGAAACTGTAGGAATTATCGTTTCTGTATTCCTGTGTATTACGAAATTTTCAATGTGCAAAAATATCGAGGATAACTGTATAAAAGGAATGCCATTTTGTATATAAAACAAAGAGAAATGTCGTTCTTAGCAATTATATCTGTTTCATTGCATTTAACAAACATGTTGATCCGTGAAATAGGACCCCATTGATATATTCGAAATTCCTAAGAAGTGACCCAATTTAGGTACAGAGGTGCTGCTGGTATTACAAACCCCATTCATCGTCATTCATTTATTTCTTAGTTATCACCAGGAACATAGTTCCCAGATTATCACATATATACAATTTGGATCTGATCTAATTGAAAGATACCCATTGAAAGCGGCACAGTATATATTATGGAGAGCCAAAAGACCCCCCCCCCCCCCCCCCATTATGTTGATACTCTTTCAAGGTCAAAACAGATGCAGTCAAACGAAAGAATAGCTTAACGAAAGAACAGCTTAACGATGTAAAATGTTTTCAGACAAGAGGAAAAAAGAAAATATGGAATATTCGTTGACGAGTATTAATAAAAATTAAACAACTGATGTCTGGAATGTTTTTTATATTAAAAAAAAATGTAAATGGTTTCTATGAAACCATATGTGTCTCACACTTTTGCTGCTGTCAGAGTAAAAGTGCATTGTTGTTTGTCAAAAACATGCGTCCACTTCGGGAGTTACCATTTGATTATTAGGGGTGGGGGTGGGGCTAGGATGAAAAATGTTGTCCTGCGTTTTATTTAGTTGTAATCTCCGTCCTGAATACTTATTTTCGCTCTAATCAGTCCTGCCATTTTCTTATCCTGACTTTTTGTATAAATTTTCGTCCTGCCTTTTTTTGCCAAGTTGCTCATCGTGTCTTTTTTTTTTACTCAAAACTCTTTTTTTCAAATTCCATCCTAACCCTCCCCCTAAACATCAAATAATAGCTCCTTTATTAGTAAAATTACGGGAATTTTTTTCTCCTGCTATTTCTAGATCATGAGATAAAAAGTGTAAGCCAAGTTTCACTGATAACATTCCAATATATATTTTTAAAGAAAAATTTCGGCACTGCTTTCATCAGCAATGTTTTGTTTTCAATAAATTCAACAAATATAAAAGTTTGGGTGAATAACAAACAGTTTTCATCAGATTCAGATCGCCCGTTATTCATTGGGTTTTTTCACCGACAAGTTTGAAAATTCCAAAAAAGATCAAATCATTGATCTACTAAGTATAAGTCAATTCCGTTTTTAAATGGTAATATTTATTGCAGAAATTATGCTATCAACTAACTTGACATCGCTTACAAAAATTTCGTTTTTGATACGATTTGTGTATTGCATAAATTATACAATCAACTGCTTGAGCATTGGGACTTGACATCGCTTTCAAAATAGAAATGTTAAACATAACTGACATCGAAATACAAAAGCGTGTTGACTGCACGAGGTAAGATTGGTGGGAAATTAAGATACCGGGTTAAATGTTTACTTGATTGACAGGAATCAATTATCGGTGAGGCTCCAGTAGGGAAAATATGATGACGTTTTTAAAAGTTGCCTTTTATTATAAGTGGATTATATACGATCAGTTCGCACAGGGACAGTCTATACAAACGATTTGGTACCCAACCAGATTTGATGTTCGCCGGGACTCCAGGCCGTTTTTTTCACAGAAACTCGGTTAGCAGGTTAATTGTTTTTATGATAAATGCCTAAAAAAATCCCGTTTTTCCTGTCCATTTGTATAACTTCCTACGTAAAATACGTCTGTGGTAAATACCTGGGACTATTACAATAACATTTGAAGGACCCACAACAACTTATTAAACTACCAAGCCACTGTACATAATGTATATATATATATATATATGTTATTGTTAACTATTTTTTCCTTATTATATTAATTTTAATTAAGTCCATATGTACATAGCACACAGGTTCCTAGGCACATAGGACTCTACTAACTCCCGTATTCGGAAAAAGAAGAACAGTTAGTATAATAGTCCCAGTAAATACACTGGAAATTTCAGTAGACGGATATTAATAGTAAATTGCTTGAAAACCTCCACAAATTAATCATACAAGTAAGCTAAGACTTCTATAACACGTGTATTATATTAGATTCAGAAATTAGGTAAGATTTTGCTTGTACGATTTATTTATTCCCGACGAAGTAATCGGTGAGCGTAAAAGTCTATAATCCGGAAAATGATTCGGAGTCGGTTTTCATGTTAAAACACTGCTGAGATCTAGATCTTGTGACGCAGACGACGAAAGAACGCTGCAGAACAGATCAACAAGAACCTTAGCTTCAATGCCTTCATAATCATAGGAAAAGATGTGGTCTGCCATTCAGAAGATGGTTTTCAACTTGCCCAGAAAACTGACTACAACTTGTGAACTGTCAGTGTCAATCCAACCGCACATACAACTATCCACCACAGCCTCCACAGGCTAAGAACAATGTCAATAATGATGTCCCTAACGAAACGCCAACGGGTATGAGTCCATTTCAATGACAATTTTTTTATTTGGAAACGGCCATTTAATATTGTGGGTGGGAGCAGTGGATTTGGAAAATGAATAATCTTGCCTTGCCCTTAAAGATATCAGAATAAAAAATTATTTTACCCACCAAAATAAAAGATATTTAAGACTTTAATATGTGTGAAAATATCTTTTTTTACAACAAAAAAATAAAACAATCAGGAATCACAAAATAAAATTCCAAAATTCATCCTGCCTCCTCCTGTAACAGAATATTGAATGGTCGTTCCCTTATAAAGTCAGATTATACAATATTTATTCAATGCAAAATTCAAAACATGTAATATAATATGGGTAAACATAGTCCAAATCATTATGAGGTCTTGTAGTTTTAAGGCTATGTTTATAGTCTTGCTGAGCAGAAGCAAGGTGTCACAGAAAAGCAATGAAATTACTTACCATTCAATGAGGGGCGTAAAAGGGGGGTGGGTATCTGCACGGAAAATAAAATCACCATTTCACGATGAACGAACAATTAAAAATTTCTTAATAAAGATTTCACAAAAAGTATTACTATTAATTCAGAAATTAATGCGATGTTTTTATTATTCCGAAAAATGCGACAGGGTTGTAATCGCAATAATTTAAACTTGCATTAATGATTTTGAAATTTTGTATATGAAGTGAACAGGATTTGTCTCAATATCGCAAAATTTAAAATCGCACTTTAGTTAAAATGACAATATCTCAATAATAAATGCACGCAATAATTCTGAATTTACAGTATTTTAATTACAATACACCTTATCATTATTTGTCCGCCATTACTGGACTTCACACAGGTTCCCCGTAAAATTTTGACATCATAATACAAAATATATGACGCCACAATGGAAAAGGGATTGTTGTATGACGTCAATAGTTCAAGCAGGACAGATTCTCGGGTCAGCCGGGAATAGGGATAAGGTGTATATAAAAAAGATGTGGTATGATTGCCAATGAGACAACTCTCCACAAGAGACCAAATGACACAGAAATTAACAACTATAGGTCACCGTACAGCCTTCAACAATGAGCAATGCCCATACCACATAGTCAGCTATAAAAGGCCCCGAAATGACAAATGTAAAACAATTCAAATGAGAAAACAAACGACCTTAGGCCTTGAAAAAGGCGCTTAACTCATCAGATGGATACAAATAAAATACATCTAACAAAAACACAGAGTGGACGTGGCGGGTCTAAGTACTGATCTGAAAGTACTTGAAGTATAAACTGACAGCTAGTTCAAAGCCACTAACAACTAATAAAAATAATCATGCATCTAACATGTCTACGACTAAATACAAGTATGTCATTATGCACTTCCTATTTTTCTTATTTTTGTGACTTGTGTGTGGACCATACAACTTATAGCTATTTATCCACCATGACTGGACATTACAAAGGTTCCTGTAAAATTTGTTTGTCACTTTTTAACTATGAGGCAAACCTATACCATGTATGGACGGCTTTAATCGGTCCTGACAAGAAAAATATGAAACAATTCAATTGAGAAAATTAAAAGTCCAATTTATTACAAAACAATTAACGAAAACAAGAGATATTGCATGACAGTACATGAAACAACAACAACCACTGAACTACAGGCTCCTGACTTTGGACAGGCACATATAGAATGTGGAGTTAAACTAAATTTGATTGCACCAACCGGGACAGTGGTGTTGTGGCACAATATTCGAACAAACTATGCAAAACATTAAAAGAAAAACAAATATGACAAACAGCAAAACACAACAACCACTCAATTACATGCTCCTGACTTGGTACAGGCACATAGAATATGGTAGGCTATTAAATCCCTACCTACCTACCCTAACTTTTTTTTTAGATGTAACTGGAACCACACATACTATTTTATAGAGAACATACGTATGATTGAAGAGATTGTTGTAGCTTAAGCTAAATGTGCATGTGTTTAAAAATAATATTTAGTATGGTTTTAATTGATTGATAACAAAATCAATTTTTATACCAATAAAAAACAATATTCACTTCTTTTAAAAGATCTGGGCCATTTGAAGTTAGATGAAAGATGATCTGCATCAATGCGTTTATGGAAAATACCAATTGTTTTGAGGTAAGAATGACACAGAATTTTAGAGACACAAAATAAGTCACAGCAACCTTACAATTTATAAGAATATACAAATATTCATTTTTTCACCTTGGCATAGTCAATGAGTATATTTGTGCCAAAATCATATAGCGTAAGCTCTATGAAAATAGTACTGGTAAACGTTGAAAACTTTGTAAAAATTAATTCTCCTAACTATACTTACACTAAAAATGGTTAATCTTGGAAAGAATATTAAATTGATGATTTTTTGCTTTACATCCAGTCGCAAATACTTCACTTTGATGTCAACTTACCTTCGATTATATATATTAGTTGCACATGTTACTTGTGCGTTATCTATTTAAAATCACAGTATGGGCTGTTCGGTTCCAAGCGAAGGGGGTCGTAAGACACTTTTTGTTTTCAATCAGCACTGATAAAACTTTAATTGATTATTTCCAATATATCTTTCTAAAAAAAACACAACCCATCAAATTTTAACAAAGTGTTTTCTGATGGCTCTTTTTGATTTTCACTTTGACAACTGATGAATATTTTATAAGAATTCATAAATTTAGGTGTCGGTATTGATACTTATATTTAATTTTTAGAATTGGCTCGTCAGACGTCAGTGAACGAGACTTATGACTTTATGTTCATGATTTTCAACAGAACTATTAAAAAAAAAATGGTGCAGATCAACAGTATCTGGTATGTACATGCTTTAGTTTTAATAGTATAAAAATAAGCTGGAAGTGTGGTATGTTTTCCAATGAGACAACTATCTACATGTACTATATAAATGCTTTACAAATGTAGATGAGAGCAATAATAGCTATAGGTCACCATACAGCCTTTAAATTTAAAGCCAATACCTTAAATTTAGCTATAACGCTGACACATTCATTACACATGACAATATAAAGCACTAAAATTCCAAATATATTTGAAATAATGAATTCCTACATTTTTTGCATATACATTGAAAACTAATACATGTACATTGTACTATAAATTTGTATAAGCAATACATGTATATATGGGACAAGTCGAAATATCAGAGGTTATAAACTATTTTAACAGGAGTTAAGTCTCTTAGAAATGTTAATTTTATATAGAAAATAGCACTCATATGTAAAATTTATGCCAGATTTTTATAAAATGTATATCAATGGCTTACATCATCAATGTCAAGATTTGGATTTAGGGAAATAGAAAGAAATATTATAGGGAATTACTAACAGTTCAAATAAGAATTTGTGGAATTTTAGTTATTGTCCCTGGGCAGACAAGACATATGCAACACAGGGGACATTGGAATTCTGTTCTTTTATTAGCTTGAAGTTGTTTTTACCTCACCTGGCCCGAAGTCCGTCGTCGTCGTTAACTTTTTACATTTTGAACTTCTTCTAGAGAACCACTGAATGGAATGGAACCAAACATGGCATGAATGTTCCTTATGAGGTGCTGACCAAGTGTTGTTACTTTGTAGCCGATCAATCATCCAAGATGGCCGCCAGCGGGGGACTTAGTTTAACATAGGACCCTATGAGAAATGCATACAAATGTCTTCTTTTAGAGAACTACTGCATGGAATGAAACCAAACATGGCATAAATGTTCCTTATGAGGTGCTGACCAAGTGTTGTTACTTTGTAGCCGATCAATCATCCATGATGGCCGCCAGGGGGGGGACTTAGTTTAACATAGAACCCTATGGGAAATACATACAATTGTCTTCTTTTAGAGAACCACTGAATGGAATGGAACCAAACATAGCATGAATGTTCCTAATGAGGTGCTGACCAAGTGTTGTTACTTTGTAACCGATCCATCATCCAAGATGGCCGCCAGCGGGGGACTTAGTTTAACATAGGACCCCATAAGAAATACATACAAAGGTCTTCTTTTAGAGAACCAGTGAATGGAATGATACTAAACATAGCATAAAAAAGCCATAAATGTTTCTTATGAGATGCTAACCAAGTGTTGTTACTTTGTAGCCGATCCATCATCCAAGATGGCTGCCAGCGGGGGACCTAGTTTAACATAGGACCCTATGGGAAATGCATACAAATGTCTTCTTATAGAAAACCACTAAATGGAATGAAACCAAACATAGCATGAATGTTTCTTATGAGCTGCTGACCAAGTGTTGTTACTTTGTAGACGATCCATCAACCAAGATGGCTGCCAGCGGGGGACTTAGTTTAACATAGGACCCTATGGAAAATACATACAAATGTCTTCTTTTAGAGAACTACTGAATGAAATGAAACCAAACATAGCATGAATGTTCCTTATGAGGTGCTGACCAAGTGTTATTACTTTGTAGCGATCCATCATCCAAGATGGCTGCCAGCTGGGGACTTAGCTTAACATAAGACCCTCTGAGAAATAAATACAAATGTCTTATTTTAGAGAACCACAGAATGGAATGCAATATTAAACCAAATTTGGCCTCTATCATTATTTAAGTATCTGTTATGATTTTTATCTTTTTTTATATGATTTCAAAAACCTAATTAGAGTCAGGTGAGCAACACAGGCTCTTGAGAGCCTCTAGTTTATTTACTCAGGTCACAAAATACCTGCACTTACTTGATATAATTTTTTATGTGAAATGATCCTGTTCTATTTTGAAGGGAATTTACTCATAAAGAAAAGAGAGCTGGAGACTCAGAGAGGCAGGAAAAGAACAGACCAGGGAATCACAGATCCATATCAGATAATAAAATTGAATCGAAAATTAAAAGTTTGAATTTTATGTTATTGAAACTATTAATTTACAAACTTCCTGAAAATTTGGATTTTTTTATTATTGTTTAGAGGCTATGGGTATTTGACCATCATCAATGTGTAAGCACATTGATTTTCATTCAACTTTAAGAACTTCTTTTTAGATTTTTAGGGGAATTTCTGTTGTATAAGTTTCAAAGTTTTGTATGGATATCCACATTTTGAATCATTCTGAATGTTTTCTGAATATATCTGAATCCTTCTGAATCTTTCTGAATCCATCTGAATGTTGTCTGGATATTTCTGAATGTTGTCTGGATATTTCTGAATGTTGTCTGATTATTTCTTAATCTTTCTGATTAAGTTCAGAAGTTTTCTGAAATCATTCTGAATAATGTCTTAATTTATTCTTACATTATTCTGATTTTTGTCTGAATGCTATTCTGATTTTTGTCTGAATGTTCGCATGAAAGTTCTGAATTTTTCCTTAAAAGTCCGAAATCCAGCAAAAATTCAGACATTTGCATAAATGTACATTATTACAGCCATTCAGACATTATTCAGAAAAAAATAAGAATAATTAAGAATACTTGTCAGACAGAATTCAGACACCATTTTTTCATGAGGGATACGACAATTAATGCATTTTACCCTTATGTTTCATTTTTAGTAATGGTAGCCATGTTTGTTGACAGGTATTAAAAAAAAACCACAAACTTTACACTATATACTCTAAGTTTATTTAGTTCATGTTAGGTGTGAAATTGGTCTGTTGGTTTCTGCAGAAGGAGATTTATTTTAAAATTTACAAAAGCAATGGACACCAAATGATGGCAATAGCTCACAGCTTCACAACATAGGATTACTGTCATTCAGTTTCAGGACAATTTCCATTTTTTTACTTGGAAAAACAAACATCTATAAAACCTTTACTTTATTCTGGAAAATAATGTTATGACTAAATCAATTAGTCTAGGCTTGTACAGTCAAAAGTTCAAGGCAAAGGATAAATGTAGAAGGCCAAGAATTGTTCCTTATACAGAGATAATCTATTTAGGTATGCCTATGGCCTTAGCCATGTCGAAATTTATGCCAAGTATATCAGATTTTATTGTGACATATAATTGTGATAATAACAAGTACCATCATTCCTTTATAATTTACATTACCAACCACCCAACAGGTCAATTATCATCAATATTTATAGAGATTATGTTTATAATACATTAACACATACTGTTAATTAGGAGTTAATTCTGCAGTGTGAACAATTGTCAGTCGTTATTACATACAGCAACTATATGCTAGGTGTCAGAACCCCTCGTTTAACCCTTCACAATAATTACACATTCAGTATACTGCAGTATACCTTCTAACTAACCACAAGGAGTCCCCTTAATCTATTCTCAATTAGCAATACAAAGATACTTAAGTCAGCACCCAGTGGCGCTTTGAAATCCAAACCAGCAATTGGGATTAAACACAATTTTTTTTATACATTTGATTACTGGAAAGAAACAGATAAAGTTTTTTTAAAACTTGTATACGTTACAAAGGAAAGTTACTCTGAATAAAATGATGCAATCAGCACAAGCTTCATATATAATAAAGCAATCCATCAACTTATGAAACAAATGTCAAGACTGTTAGAAATTCTGCTCTGACAAAATCATTTTTAAATAATCTTGAACATATTGAAATATAATTGTCTGCCTGCACCACAAGGGAGTTAGTTATCTAAAACATGTATGATTTATGTGTTTTCTTAATTTTTCTAGTGAACATGGACTTTTAACTTTTAAAAATTTCCATGAAACCTCTGCTATGAACATTGCTTTCAATTTTACTGCAAATTCTTGCAAACAATATTGTAAATAAAATAGAACTTAAAAAGCTAGATTACATTTTTTGTAAATAAATAAATATGTCATACCCTTTTTTTGTTGAGAAGTAGTAAATATCAGCAATAGTACATAATACTGGTTTGAATTATCTGCATAAAACAGCATAACATAATTTGTATTAATATGTAACATAATGACCAAATATTCACTTGGGTCATTACAATATAAAATTTCAGGTTGACATGCAGGTATGTAGAATAATCGATAATGGTAACAAATAGTTTCAATTATGCTTCTTAAAGAGAAACACAATGGCAAATGGAACTTTTATTAAGTAAGGAAGTATATAATACTATGGATTCATTTATTTTCATGGGTACCAATTTTCGTGGATTGACGAAAACTTGCATTCATTTTCATGGATATTAGATTTCATGTTTTGCAAAAGTCTGCATCATTCCTATAGAAAATTTTCATTCAGTTGGACATTTAAATTAGTGATTCCCCTGTAATCACGAAATCCATGAAAAATGGTATCCAACCACATCCACATTACCTCAATATTTCCAGTGGTTTAATCATACTTGAAAGTTGTATTTTTTGTAATAGCCTTATTTATTTGATCTTAACTACTATCATAAAGTTTCTTAAGAACAAATTGAGATGGATCTTAAACTTAACACTACCCCCCCCCCCCCCCCCCCCCTTTTTCTTTTTAATACTGACCCTGTAATACAAACTGATCCAAAGATATTTCAACCATTGCTCTATTGATTGATGTTTTCTTTACTGGGTTCCAAACTTAACAATGCAACTATTTGTCAGTTTCTGCAATTCTTTGTGCATTTAAAACAGATCTGATTAGAAGAATAAATTTTGGTGAACCACATGTTACTGTTAAAATTGTTACCTGTGATATCTTGCCAAATCTATTCAGAATATAATACTCCACGAGATCATTAAAGAAACATATTCAACCACATTACACTATCATTATATCTATCCATTCTCAACAGATAAATCTATAAACTTTAAAATGTTATGCAATTCTCACATTTTAAATTCAGTTGGATAAATAAAATAATCAACAAGCAATAAAGATAGATTCTTTAGTTTGTCCCTTGTTGTCATGTTGTCCATGATAACCCACTGCATGCAAAACAGTAATTTTTTGTCACCAATGGCACTTCAACATGGAGAAATTATAATTTCCTGCCAGCAGACCTAATGACAAATCAAGTCTAGTTCACAATTGAGTCCGAGTCCATAAGACAGCCAACAAATTTACCATTCAAGATTTGCATAAAACAGAATGTTTTTGGCAATTATCAATCTTCTGTAAAAGATATTGTATGGCAATTATGCCGTCTGGGTATCCACCACCATATTTGCTTCTTCATAATTATGACAGAAACACATGCAAATAAAAGAAGCATGACATTTATCAAAACCCACTCTTCTATGCTACAATTATACTATATCATGAAAGGCTTCAAACGTCTGTTATTAACAGGATAATTCTAGTGGAATACCAATGGAGAAGCAAAACAGTGCACACAGCATGCTAAGATGTTTCATGTTGTTATTCGATCACTGTCATACCACCTACCCAACACATTGTAAATTCTACAATAATTTGTATCCAATACAACCACCTGGGGTTCAATTCTCCAAAGGGTGGATGGGTTAGAATTGATAATGGAAAAATTTTAAACTGGATTAATTTTTCGATATGGTATTTGGCCCCAGGGTCTTTTTCGGGAGGTTCAAATATCATATGACACCAGGGAATAATTCAAACTCGTAATCAACAGATGAATATTCAATAACCAACAAATTATCCATCAATTAATTTTGGTTTATATTTTCAGGTTTTGATCATTATCAAATATAAAATTACTGACAAGATAAGTAACATTGAACACTTGTCCGTACACAAAATCTGCAAATCACAATAGGCACCTAGAGAGTACAAATAATGCATCATGCAAAAACAAAACAAGAATATGTGTTCATAGGAAAGCCACATAGATGGGAAAACATAATGCCCTCTACTAATGAAGGCCAGCATAAAAAGCTTATTTACATGGTTATTGCAGAATAAAGATTTTCAAAATTTATTCCAAATTTAACTGAAATATATAACGCAAGAGAATTTGTGCCAGATATTAATGGTTTCTGAGATTCAGCAATTTTTTCATTAATGCAAATTGTTCTTTTTTTTCATTGACCTTGACCTGACTGACAAAGTGTACACCAAAACCTTTTTACAAATTAGGATGAAAGGCCAATTTTTGAGATATTTCTATAAAAAAAAGCCCACATCTTATGGATCATTCATTGCCAAGACTAGTTGAAATTGGAGAAATGGTTTCAGCAGAAGATTCTTTTTTAAAGTTTACTTCAACGGATAACAACAATTGAAAGTGATAGCTCACATTGCCCATTAGGCTAGGCGAATTTGTCTAGAGAGCTTACTGAATTAATATAAGCATGGTGACAACATAAACATAGCAAAGAATAAAACACAATACTCTGTACCTGGAAGCTAAATCAAATTACTTTATCTTATGATATAGGAATCATTTCCCTTGACAAATTAATATCCATTGCACTATTTCAAACAAGAATATTCCCAACAAAACTGATGCTTCTCAACATACAAAGCTTCATACCTTAGGTATCAGAACAATCCAACAGATAACTTATTCTACATACAGTGGACAATCAAAAGGCAAATTTTATATCCTTTCCTTTGGTCTCTTAGTAGATAGTTGTCTCATTGACAATCATACCACATCTCTTTATTATCATAAACACAGAATTTTTTCACTGCTCAGCTGTCATTAAGGCAAATATCATACACTTATATATCACCTTTCTATAGCTTTCTGTCAAATATCATCACCTCCAACAACAAAAAGAACTGTCATATTATCTGAACATTTCTATTCTATATATTCACATTGATATTTTCTTCCTCTTTTAGAACCCAGATACACAACATTTTGTAATTGACTTGTTACATATTAAAAAAAAACAGCTGAAAAAGTATGCATGTATAAACGTGACATAATCTATATAATGATCACAACTGGGTTATTTTCCCTGAATAAAATCCAGATTAACATTTAGTCAGAAGTGAATCCTTTGACATAATGATCTTGTGTGACAAATGCTATAAATTTGTTCTATCACAAAGGGATTACTGTATTAAGTTTGTTCATGGAAATTAAAAGGGCATGAAAACATTGGAATCAATTTAAATAACTATTTTTAGCAGCTTATAACTTGGAAAGTGAGAGACTTAAACTCTCTTTATAAATATAAGAATTAAAGAAGATGTAGGGTTCATGTCAATTAGACAGCAACCCAATAACACAAACCATCACAAGACATCTATGGTCAAGATACAGTCTTCAACAATGGACAGGTGTCTGAATAATATGTCAATCTCTAAATTGTCTGGAGTCTTAAAGCCTACAAAAAGATTTAACAGGGAAAACAATCTGCCATCAACACTAAATTCTCTAAATAAACAAAACATTTAAGTTTTTCA